AGAGTAAACACTTTATATTATGAGGGAAAGACTAATATTTACATTATTTTTTTTCTGTTCAGTTTTTCTGTATGCGGTCCTGCATTTACATTTTTATGATTGGTGTTAATTGGCTAAAGTGAAACTAGTGCTTAAAGAAACAGGTTTGCTTGTCTTTCTTTTTCCATTAGACCGGGGGAGGGGGACTCCAGGTTTTAGATCTCACCCTGGGTCAACACACCTGAATCAAATGATTAGTTCATTACCAGGCCTCTGGAGATGTTGCAACACTTTACTCTGAAACTCATCTCTTCACATTGTTATCATGCTCATCTGCTTTGTTGTCACCTTTCATTTTAACTTGTGTGTATTTTTAAACTAGTATTTCTGGTAATGACAATGTGAAAATGCTGGCATCTGCCCAACCATAAGTTCAGCTGCAAATTGAGGTCGCCACTCTTCTCCCTCTGTGTTTGTGTTTCTATCTCGTCCGTGTATATGTGTGGGTTCGCGTGTACTGCAGTACTTTCGTCAACTCAGTTTCCACCCTCGTGTGTGTCTGTGTGCATCCTGTCATAAACAAAGCCCTTCCTCTGAGCCTGAATGTTACTTGAAGATTATAATCACAGTGAAGCTTTTACATTTAGCGGGAATGAGGAAGAAGGTTGTGAGCTGGAATGGGTTTTCCCACAGTTGGACTCGGAGAGTTGACAGTCAGCTGAGTGAAAGAAGCAAGGCTGGGGAATATATAGGCTGTTTGCTCAGAGGCTGAAGCAGCAGAACATGACCAAGGAGAAAGGAGTGCCGTCACAAGAGGCAGAGAAGTAGAGAAAAAGGAGCTTGTTGAACGTTTAGCCAAACTATGAAAGAAGGAAATGCAGTGTGGATTTTTTGGGGGGACTTTTTTGACAGCCAGATCTGAGGAGCCCATTCAGCAGCTCTTAATTGTGTTGGAGAGAAGCGTGTGGTTTCTTACCCTTGTGTTCTGAAGTTGGAAACTTCTTATTGACAGAAAAAAAGAAGAGAGAGAAGCGAGGAAGGCTGGACCTCTTTGAAAAGCAGATTTTAGGAAAGGATAAGAGGCAGAGTGTAATCTTCTTGAAGCTAAATGTGACTGAAGAAGCACAGAAAGGCATGGACTCGAAAGACCGACGGAGAGAGAAGAGTGTTGTGTGAGGAAAAGGGGGAAAAAGGACAGAACTGAAAAAGACCCTGAAGAGGGAGGAGAGAAAGAGACAGAGGGTTTGTTTTCAAGTGGATGAACAAGTAAGAGCTTAACTGTGCTGTGGATTACAAGCCTGTCGTGCTGAATTTGGGGCAGCACAAACCAGAAGGAGAGGAAGATCAAAGGCCGTGCTAAGGAAAGCGGCGGCCGTGGACGGTGCATTATACCTCCATCATGAAGCTGAAGAAGGTGGAGAGGCTGTGCAGGGAGGTGTGGAGGAGCTGCCAACAGGTCTGATAATATGACGCGATGCTTCTAAACTGTGAGAAAGTCATCAAGAGTGCGAGTAAATTATTAGAAAGATGAATAAACCCTGAGCTGGAGTAAAAGCAGCTGCGGGGGCGGCGGGGTGTTGATACCTGGAAACGTTTAGAAACGTGAAAAATGGAACAACAGAGGAGGATGAAAACCAAAGACTTAAATACTTTTCTTGTTGAAAATGTGAGCTGGTGTGTAGGCAGGTGAAATCAAGATCACATGACTTAGAGTTTGAATTGATATCGCTGATGTTCTCTTTTTGTTGGCTTCGGTTGACAGCTCACAGTGATTCGTGTCAAACATGCCGCTTTTCCACCGCTAGTTGAAAGTGTAATGCTGCTTCTAGACATAAATGTACTGCTGACTTCATGTTTCCGTGACACAGAGCCTCAGGATCAAACACATGTGAGCTTAACGCTCGTTCAGAAAGACGTTTCATATCTTTTCCATGAATCACAGACGTCGTCATTGCAGCTACACGTCAGGAGTGATTTAATCTGACGGCTGTGGTAGACAAACGTTTGTCTCGGCCTGAGAAGATAAGATGTTAAAGGCAATATGAGTCACTGTCACAAAATGTGAGGAGAGCTACGCACAGAAGCATCTTTGAAAATAAAGACAGGCCTCGATAGATGGCGTGAGCTCCAGCCGGACCGGACTAGTTGTTGCAGAGGCAACAGGGAAAACATTTCCCATCTGTGTTATC